TCTCTCTCTCTCTCTCTTTCTTTCTTTCTTCTCAAATATTGTAATTTTATATGAAATTTGTACAATAGGGTGATTCTGGTGGACCTTTGGTAGTGGATGGTAAACTAGTAGGTATTGCCACCTGGACATACAGAGGTTGTCCGGCAAACACTGTTGAGTGGCCGACCGCTTACTCCAATGTAGCCAACCAATGGAAATGGCTCAGCGATCGCATTAAATAATCAATGTACTAAATGAACATGTTTATTTGTAAATTTTTTTAATATTTCAAGTAAATTATATCATTTGCTAAAAATTTTGTTGGATTAAAATTGTTTGTTATATCAACATATTATTTGATATTTTTAAAATAATTTTCTGATACCTTATTTAACTTATTATACTTATATCACTTACAAATTAATTTTAAAAATTGCACAAAAAATGTATTAAAATACAATAAATATACAGCAATTAATTTAATGCAATAATAATTACAGAATACAATATTTATTGCATTGTTTTTAATAGATAAACACTAATTAATAATTATTACTCTAACAATAAACCAATTCATGATTATTAATTGTTTTTCTTTAAATGTATAATCATTTCATATTATATTTTATAAAATTTTTATTTTAATTAACAGTCAATTTACAATTCATTAAATATATTAACAACAATATGAGAAGTGCAATATTACTGTTGATTGGACTCGAGCTAGTTGGCCCAATTGCTAATGCTTACATAGCAATCTCACCAAGGTATAATGATGGTAGGATTGTGGGCGGAACGGACGCAAAGGCCGACCAGGCTTCATTTCAAGTATCAATATTTGCCTATACTGGTTGGTTTGACTGGATGCACATTTGTGGCGGTTCATTGGTCGGCCGTCGGTCAGTGGTGACGGCCGCCCACTGTTGTGATAGGTATATATTTAATTCGTTATTATTTGTGTATTTTGGTTGTTTTTGCTTGAATAAGCATGATAATAAACTAGTCAATTTATTTATGCAGTTTTATAACATCCGAATTAGAGGCCAGATATGACGGCCTGGACTATAGGACCCTTAAAACCATAAACAAGGTAACAAAAATTGATACCCACGAGGGCTATAATTCCCAGAGTTATGACTGGGATTACTGTGTGCTGACACTACGAGACGATATCGTTAAGTCACCCACCGTTCAGACCATCGAATTGGCCACTAGTGTTCCGCCGCCCGGTTCTGCCGCTCATTTGACCGGTTGGGGTGTGACTACTGAATCTGGCTCATCATTGTCCCCTCTGCTCC